ATTGTAGAGTTGGAAGGGACCCCAAGGGTCATCTAGTCCAACCCCCCGCAATGCAGGAATCATGATCATAATCATAAATCTGGACATCTATTTGGACATATAAAATGCTTACATATATGTATGTCTTTTAAGTCAGCGGTAATGGATTATTTTTATTGTTAATGTGAGCTGATTTTGTTGTTGTATGTATGTTTGTTTGTTTGTTATATTTGCATAACAAGGAAAAGGGGAGGGAGAAATTCCATCTAAGCAGCCATGTGATTGCTGTCAGTTTCTACCCAATTCTTAAAACTTAACCCTTTCTGAGACATATAGAAGAATTGTTAAAATAGCAGCTTGAATCTATCCTATGTAAATATAATCTACTTATATGAAAAACATTGCTGTTATTTTTTTTAAAAAACCCCAGCTAGTTTGATTTATTATACATGGGTTCACTCTAACTCCATAGGTTCATGCAGTTGCCCAACAAACTGCGCAAACCAGAATCCTATGAAAGGAAGTGGTTTTCCACCAAGTCTTGATAGTTAACTAGAAAGAATAAACGTCAAGCAGAAAGCTGACGCAAGACAGGCCAAACTGACCTGAGTTTGCATTGCACTGCCAGTTGTTACCTCGCTGTCAGTGTTCTCTGAACAGTACGATCTCTCCATGATTCTGGTTTATCTATATAAGTTTCTTAGCTGGTCACTGTCCAGCAATCTCCAGCACAGGAACATCCTCAGCTTGCTTCTAGATGTATGATGTCTGTAGCTGAAGTGAAGATAATTGCTTTTGTTACAGTCCGTTCCGATGCATCACCCCAACTCTGTAAATGGCTTTCTTGCTTGGCTGTGATTCACCATTGTCAGAAAGAAGCCTAATCCATACCTGTGCATATGCCTCAGTCACCCGAGACTAACACACTGAATGTTCACCCTGGAGGGATAATTTGTTTACTAAATATGAGCCAGTAATTCCACTCCTCCACTATAGCCTGGCGAGGAACAGTTTCTCACAGCAAAATTCTAATCTAGCCTGACTAGGATGCAGGTCTTGCAAAGCACCATGTCTGTTGCTGACTCTGCATACCAGAATCCCAAGTACTTGAGCCAGCCTGGATTTGTCTTTGTCTAATGATATAAAACAGGGGTAGGCAAACTAAGGCCTGGGGGCCGGATCCGGCCCAATAGCCTTCCAAATCCAGCCCGCAGACGGTCCGGGAATCAGCGTGTTTTTACATGAGTAGAATGTGCCCTTTTATTAAAAATGCATCTCTGGGTTATTTGTGGGGCCTGCCTGGTGTTTTTACATGAGTAGAATGTGTGCTTTTATTTAAAATGCATCTCTGGGTTATTTGTGGGGCATAGGAATTCGTTCATTTCTTTTTTTTTCAAAATATAGTCCGGCCCCCCACAAGGTCTGAGGGACAGTGGACCGGCCCCCTGCTGGAAAGGTTTGCTGACCCCTGATACAAAAGTTTGGGACATTTTGCCCCCTGAGCAGTTGACAAGCTGAATTCCAAGCTAGGAAGTGGTTATGAGGGACAGTGGGTCTCAAAGTTTTCCCACTCAGCTTTCATTGTTACAGGATCTTTCTACAGGGCTTTTTCATATACAAATTACGCTTTTATCTTCACATCAACCCCTGTGAAGTAGATTAAACAGAGAGAGAATTTATGTCATGCCACCCAGAAGGATACCTGGCCGGGCAGGGCTTTGAATGCAGGTATTAGCATTTTGGCATTTGCAACATGCTGTCCCCTCAGAAATGGAAATGCAGGTTCTGAAGCCATGGGTTTGAAGTTAAATAAGTGCTGGACTAAGTGCTCATGTGAACATTTTAATTCAGTATCACTTTCAGTAAATAGAAGCATTAATTATTTCCCCCCCCCAAATGATTCTGAAGTCACATTTTAAAACAAAGTACACAAACCTTGAAAAGCTATTGCAAATTCTCTCTGTGGTGCAACAAGAATGGGCCCAGTCAGCCCTGTACCTTGTCCGAGGGCTGCTACAGAGGTTAACACTCATAATATAAGCAAGGTGCTTGAGATGCACCACTTATATGTTTGACCTAGTAGGGTTAGGAAAGTCTAGTCAGTGAGCAGTTCAGCCTCTGCCTCTTCGTATATTTCTTCCTCTGCCTGCCTAAATTGGAGAATTTGGGGCCACACCCAACACGTCACTGCTTGTTGTCTTTGAACCCACAGGAACTCTTGAGTCTTGCATGATCTATTTAGGTTACCAGGTGCTTCATGCCTCATCATTAGATATACGGGCACTCATAATGCAGACCTTTCTCTTGCCTTGATTATTATCTCCAGACCACTATCTTTAAAGGCCGTTATAGATTTCTCAGACCAATCTTTACTCTTGATGCCGAACCAATGTTTGAATTACAGGCTGGGCAGAGGAGGGCCAGCCTACTTTTCTTTTGTGACAGTCTCCTTAACCACAGTTTCTGAAGGCAACAGGGAAACTATGGTTTCATTAAAATGGATGGGAGGAGTCAGGCAGTAGGGCTTATTGATGTATCCCCATGCCCAATAATTCAAGCACTGAGCTGCACATTGCCATTGAGATGGCTAATACCTTGATACCATTGTCAGAGCAAATTGAAACCACACCCTGTGCCTGGCCCACTCACTTCGTCTCACATCCACTGCATTGTTATCCATGCATCCGGCAACCCTTGCAGAAACTGGTGAGCAAACAATTTTATTCATTCATTTTGGTCAAGTGACTAAAAGCAAGGTCAGATTCTTGCAATCGTTTTCTGCACCCCACCCCTAAATCCTAGCTAGTAGTAGCAGGGCTTTTTGCAGCCGGAACTTGCCAGAACTCGCCGGAACTCAGTTACGGCACCTCTCAGGTGGGTGGCATTGCAAGAGAACAAAGGAGGCATTCGTGGTGAATTCCAGCACCTCTTTTTCTAGAAAAATAGCACTGGGAAGTAGTTCCATCTTACCACTGTCTGCTGAGGTGGCACAACCCCTCAGGAAGCCATGAGGACCAGATCTCAGCACAGATACTCCCCACAGCAGCTGCTACTAGCACCACTGACTGTTCTGCAGGCCTCAAGCAACAGTTCGGCAACTGATGATGACACAGAATAGAGAGCAGATGGTGACATGAGACACGGGCCTGGGTCTAGGTTATGAGAAGCCCTCAGCAAAATACCTTTGGTGGGCTCCCTATTCTTCTCAGCAGAACTAATGCTCCCCTCCGTGCTGCCCACAGGGAGAGAGAGAGAGAGAGAGAGAGAGAGACTGGGTGCTCCTGCAAAAACCTCTTCACTGTCCTAAGAACATAAGATCAGGCCAAAGACCCACCAAGTCCAGCATCCTGTTCTCACAGAGGTCTATGGAAAGTCTCAAAGCAGGACCTGAGTGCAACAGGACTCTCCCCACTCATGCTCCTCAGCAACTGACATCCAGGGATGTTCTGCCTCCAAAGATAGAGGTACAACTTACATAGCCACCATGGCTAGTAGCCCAATCCTTCTCATCCAGGGTGAATGTCAAACATCACAGGGCAGCCTCTACCACCTGCAGTGGTGGTTTTGTCACCTCAGCATCCAAGGGGAAATCCAAGCCAGTAGGCCCTCCAAGTGGACTCTGGGGCCTCAGCAACTGCCTGGCCATGCTAAGCCAACACCCATCCTGCTCCAGCCTCTGGCGCTTAAGCCAAACAACCACTAAGGTGCCCATGGTTCCCCTGCATGTGGGTTTCTTGTTAGCTGGAGAATATAAATCGTCTTATGAGAAGGAGGGTTTATGAAGATGCCTGTAACCGGAGCTGTGGCTACTGGAAGGGGGGGGGGGGCTAGCCTGTTTTATTGCCCCGGGTGAAGCCTCCAGAGGGGCACCATTGAGCACCCCAGCCTGTGTGTGTGTACGTAAATGTGCATGAGATGTATCTTTGACCCAGGTGAAGTAAGGTAGAGTTGGCATATTTCAAAAAGCAGAATTCCCGACAACCCAAATTGGATGAGGTTTTTTTGGGAACAAACCCAAATTGTGTTGGGGGAGGGGATTTTAAGCTTTTTGAACTGTCTCCGCTGCTTTTTCCATCACTTTGCCATACATCCAGGTTTTCCCGACATTTGCCAATTCGGCAAAATCCACCCCCCCACACACACCATTTTTACAACAGAAAGCCAGGACGTCGGGAATTTTCCTGATGTATGGCAACCCTAAATAACGCCTTGTTGGCCCCACCCCCTGCCGGAAACAAGGAGCAGACCCCCTTTACTACCTATTGACATCAGCTGCTTTTACCATAGTAATCTACCATAGAATACTATGGCATGGTAGAGTTGGGAAGCCCATCTAGTCCAGCCCGGGCAATATGCCAGAGATGGAGGAAAGGGTGCCTCTTTTTCTTTGTATCCTGTATTGCTCGTTTCTATTTCGATATTTAAAACAACCAGTGGTGTACGATACAGTCCCCTCTCCGCACATCCTTTAGAGGTGCCAATATGATTTCATGGTACCCTCCCGCCAAGGTTCCTGCCGATCAGCACTGCTAGGCGGAGATCAGCATTTACTGTATTCTATATCACGTGCAGCGCATAAACTGGGGGCAAACGACTGTCTCTAAATGCCCTCGGCAGCCGATGCACAGACTTGCACCCCGTTAAGGCCACCCGCTAAAGCAGGTTTCTCCCCACTGACCCCCATCCTCCGCCCCGCGCCTGGCTGCGCCCGCAGCCCGGCCGAAAGGACCGCCTGATGCAATCACCTGCCTCCTTTGCTCGAAAGCTTCCAGCCGAGTTGCATCATCCCGGCTTGATGCAGCGGGCGGCGGGGGGAACCCAATCGGCGCGCGCGCTCCGCCCGTGACCGACAGCTCCCTCTGAGCAATCCAGATTGCAGAGAGGCGGGACAACGCGCGGCTACCGTGACGCCGGAGGCGCTGATTGGAGAGCGGACGGCGCGAGCCGCCAGAATTCCATGACAGCTGGGTGGGGTTTGCCCGGCGAGCTGGTATTTAAAGAGGCTGCCGCTGCAGGACGCGCACAGTTAATCGTGGAAACGTCCGCTTTGCTGTTGCCTTCTCGCCGCCAGCCACCGTGCCAAGCATTTGCCACCTTCTGTCCCGGGCAGCCTCCTTCCCCGGAGCGCAGGTCCAGCGCTGCCGCTTCCCGGGTTCCGGCTGCTTCCCGGGTTCCTCGCGCGGGGCCATGAAGCGGGATCCGCTGCCGCTGCTCCCGCAGCATCCTCCTCCTCCTCCTCCTTCCAGCGGAGGGGAGCGCCCCCTTGGGCGGCCGCAGCAGGAGGGAGACCTGGCCGCCGCGGAAGGCGGGCCGCCCAAATCCCCGTTGTGGGTCTTCGGCTACGGCTCGCTGGTTTGGAGACCCGATTTCGAGTTCACGTCGCGCAAAGTGGGCTTCATCCGCGGCTACACCCGCCGCTTCTGGCAAGGAGACACCTTCCACCGAGGCAGCGAGAAGATGGTGAGAGGGGGCGCCCCTTTGGTGAGGGGGGGGGAGAGAGATCGGGGCGGGGGTGATGGATGGGTCTGTCCTGGGTCTCCTTCGAGGCGGGGGTGGGAGTGATGGATTGGCGCCTCTCTGCCCTGGGTCTCTCTTGGGATGGGGGTGGTGGGTGGGCGCCTCTATCCTGGGTCTCCCTCGAGGCGGGGGTGGAGTGATGGATGGGCGCCTCTCTGTCCTGGGTCTCTCTCGGGAAGAATGCCTGTGGGTGGCGACCCGGGTGGTGGTCCAGGTTTGGAACGGATGGGTAGCTTATAAGCAGCATTTGCTGCTGAGGGAGCTGGTTTGAAGAGGGGCTGCAGATCCGCACGACCCCTTTTGCCCTTGGCTTGGCATTGCCCGTGTGCTGGCTGGAGAGCAGCTTGTGCCTCCTGTGTGGTTGGCCTGCAGTGCTGGCGCTGTGCGGGTTTCCTTGTGGAGCATCCGTGGGTGTGGCGGTGCTTCGCTTGCGCTTTCCGGGTGGATATCTGATACTGTATGTTAACTCTGACTTTCCTCTCCCTCCCTTTCCTCTCCTGTTTAGCCTGGTAGAGTGGTCACCCTCCAAGAGGATTATGAGGTAAGTTATTTATGCCTACATCTTTATCCAGTTCATTCAACACACCTGTAAAGCAAGGCTTAATCTGGGTTCTTCTGGGCATAATCCAGAACAGTTCTAAGAGTTCACCACCTCCCCTTTAGTTCCTGCACAGAGGGGGAAGGGGAGGTTCGTCATAGTGCTGCAGCTAGACAGGTGGCATTTGTTGTTTCTATGGCTTTAGGAGGATGCCCAAAATGCCTCAAGAAACATTAGGCAGTTGGGATAGTGGGATGCTGTGTATTAAGGGACCATGAATAAGAGCTTATCTTCAGGTGATGAGAGAAAGCTGAGATAATATTTGAGACATCCTCCAAGATAAATAGTTGCTGAAAAATATTTGGTATGTGGTTGAGTCAATGGTGCCATGTCCTTCCTGGAGCCTCTGTAAGAGCCGATTGGATTAATCACTCAGTGGGTAGGCTGGAGTGGAAGGAATAGCCAGTGTTTTTATAATTTAGTGGTCTCTGACTTCTCTAGCCTGCCTCAAAGTCCTTTAAAATGAGATTGGACTTGGCAGCAAGCTGTATGTTATGCATAGCTGGATGAGCAAATGCAAAATTGCTTCAGTTGGTAAGGAGTGTGGAGACTGCTCTGTGAGCAAGTCTTAGTATTTCTTTGTGTTACTAAGACATGAGCAAAAAATTGTCAAAAATGTCTTTGTGTGGAAATTTAAGTCTCTATCGTTTATTATACAGTCATAGAACCACTGAAAGTTTAAGTCTGAGACATAATAGAGGAGCAAAACACAGCTGATCAGATGCATTTTGGAGCAATCTGTAGCCTTTCGGAGAACAATGAGCCTACTTCTGCATGAGTTTTCAGAATAAAAATGTAAAAGCGATGGACAAGGTGATCAGAAAATCTATCTGTGCTCTCCTTTCATGTCACAAAAGGAGTTGTCACAACAAGGATAATGGTGCTTTCTTTTGAAGAGGCATTTATCCATCCCTGACCAGTGCTTTTAGGAGCCTTGTATGACCTAGTTAACAGGTTTACGTAAAAAACAGGAGTTTCATCAGCTTCCAGGATATAATAATGCATATGATTCTGTTTCTGCCTCTGTCACAGCAAGTAATCCTTGTCAATTTTTTATTCATTGCAGGGTTGCACATGGGGCGTTGCCTATGAACTCCGTGGTGATCAAATTGCTGCTTCGCTCAAATATTTAAATATGCGGGAAGCCGTGCTTGGAGGCTACGACACCAAGCTGGTGAAGTTCCACCCCCAGGATCAAGAGACTGAGCCTATCCTAGCCCTGGTTTACATTGCAACCCCGCAGAATCCCTCCTACCTTGGTCCAGCATCTGAAGAGGACATTGCAGCTCAAATAATAGTTTCCAGCGGTCGTTCTGGCCACAATATAGAGTACCTGCTGCGGTTGGCAGACTTCATGCGCTACTTTTGCCCTCAGGTAGAAGATGAGCACTTGTTCTCAATTGAGGAGGCTCTGATCTCCATCCTGCCCTATATATACCAACCTGAGGAGTCTTCAGTGGAAGAATGAACGTGACTCTGCCCTCCAGAGGGGCTGAAGTATACCTTTTTGACCAAGAACAGGAGCAAACACAACAGACACACTTTTTAATACAACTAAAAGTCAGATTAATAAAGCCAATGGGTGAAGCAGTTTTAAGAGGGGAGGGATACTTCTTGTCACTGGACTGGCAGTGGAAACTGGAGAGAGCCTCCATTGTTGCAGGATGAGAAGCTGCCTGAAAAATGCTCTGGAAGGCTCCAATCCTATGCATGCTAATCTGGGAGCAAGTCCTATTGCATTTGCTGAGGCTTGCTTCTGAGTAGATTTGCAAATGGGGTTTGAGGAAGCCAAACAGTGTTCTTTTTTCATCGTCAAAGGGAAGGGCCAGAAGCTACAATGTGCTTTTCTTAAAAGTGTTTCTGAAGCGCCCCCGCCCCAAATCACCCTAAGCAGGGACTTGGCAGCAGTGTTGAAATGCTGTGAGCTTTGCTCTACCTCACAAACTGGCAGAAGAGCCACAAGTGTGTGGCACAGAGTGTCTTCTAGGTCAAAGGAGTCGGCCTCTTTCTCCAGCTTGACCTTCACTAGTACGCCCAGGGTTGAGTGCAATATGAACTTGTGTCACCTTCTGTAGGCTCAGATGGGGCCAAATTTGCTTTCGACTTGTCTTAAGTGAACAGTTAATGCACTACTTTTTATATATATAACTTGAAGATGTATTTATTGTAATGAATATATATATATTTCTTGAAGGGAAAGTGTCCAAGTTGTTTGCTCGTCTCCTAGTAAATGCCCTGCAGGGCAGGGAATGCCGCAAGTTTGTGTGATGGGATCATGCCTTCTGGTTTCAGAACCATTCTAGGTACAAGAGTTTCCAATCTTAGTTGGCAGCCACAAGCCAGCTCCATTGAGGCATCATTCTGAAAATAGTTCAGCTATGTGCCACCTGGTGAACAATATTACTGTCTTCCTCCTGTAAATACTACATCTGTCTCCTTTCTGCTTATGTGACTGCAAGGTGTAAGCACCAAAAACTGTCATTTATATCCAATTTTCACTACATTGATTCATCAAACAGCTCTTCCCCCCTCTCCCCCAATATCTAAGCTTTGTAAAAGCACAAGACATTAATGTCTCTGGATTCATTAGGCATGAACATAAAAGGCCTGTGCTGAGTAGACTTGAGCACTGGTGGGGACCTGTGAGCCATTCAGATGCTGTTGGACTCCCAACTCTCATCAGCCCTAACGATCAGGGATGAGGGAAGCTGGAGTCCGGCAACAGGTGAGGACCACTGGCTCCCCAGCCCTGATGATTGGACAAGGTAAGGTAAGCTAGGCTGGCTGTAGTTCCCTGTTTCAGTGACATTCTGTGAGAGACACTGCTGCTCTTGCTCTTTTGTTAACACAGCTTTGGACGTTGTGTTCCAAGAGGAGAGGAGCCCAATACTTGACTTCTCGCTGCTGTTTGTATACATAAGGAGGAACTGTGTGTGCCTCTTGTGCCCAGACATAAACCAAACTGACATTATAGTTAACATCAATTAGAGAAGGGAAACTTTATTGGTCTTACCATGGATTTATTGGTCTTTGCCATGGGATTTCTTGCAAAAGGTATATGGTGAGACCTGGGTAACTACCCATCTGCATAGCTGTTGTTCCTTCACCAAGACCTGGGTCATCTGAAATGATTTGCTCGGTCAGCAGTTTTTTCTGCAGCACATCTGTCATAAGCACTACATAATGCATGTTGTATGGGTTGATGTGGCCCACAGGTCTCCCACCACGAGGGTCTTGCATTAAGATGGCATCCTTGTCCCTTTCAAATTCCATTTCTAAAACTTGCAATGGACAGGATGTGCATGGTGCCTCTGCAACCTCTCCATGTCGACATAATGCAACACCAGAGGCAGAGGGTTTATCATCTTGCACACCCACCACTGGCAGCTGAATGTCTCTCCCATAAGGCAGAAGTGACTTGTCATTTGGAAACTTCTTTTCTGCGCTGGAGAGCAGCGGAGGCACCATAAAAGCGCAATGCTACTGAGCAACCTTCCTCTCCTACCCAGTTCAGACAGTAGTGGTAACTGCTGAAGCCCCACACCTTAGCGATTTTCTTGAATGAAAGCAGGTGCTAGACTGAATCTCCTCCTGCATTCTAGAAACGTTCAGTTCCTGCTTCTGGTGCCTTGGCAGGGATTAAACTTGCTTGGAACCAGAAGGCCTTTTTATCTGAGAGGCAGCAGCTCATACTGGCTAATGCCCAATTTTGTTTGGCCACAATTAATGTTCAGTAGATGAAGCTGGAAGCCTTCTGCCATGGGAGTATTTCTCTCTGCATATTTCAGTGGAGAAATTTGAATATCCTGGGAAACAAAAGTGCTGTGTTTGGCCCGGAACTGCAGTTTTGTCCCCCACTATCACACTGCAAGAATGCCTATGAAAATATTTTTTAGAGTTTGGACTGTGGCTGCAAAAGTGGCATAAGCACCTACTGCCCATCACATTGCTGGTGCTGAAAACCCATGCACCTCATACTGACATTGAATTGTGGGGCAGGGACACTAGATACACAAACATAATTTTAAGCCAGAGAGGGGAAAGATGTGGCCCTCTAGATGGTGTATCCTCATTTCCCATCAGCCCCAGCCTAAGGGGAACTGTAGCCTATCAACATCTATAGTTTCCCCACCCCTAATCAAAACACTTATAAATGTGGAGTGTGTCCCTGCTGTATAGCATGGAAACAGAGGAGCCATCACTATTAGGCTCATGACCCTCTGCAGGGGCCCATGGCTAAGCCTCAGAACATTCCACCTCTGCTGCTGGATGTTCTACTTTGTTGCTGTCACCCATCCACTTGCCCTCTCTAAACATGCTGTCACTGAGAAGAGAAGATGGTGGCACAGCATCTTCCATTTGGCTTCACCTTTCCCTCTGGGCAGCTGTCTGGATGGGTCCCAGAGGGAGAAGGCAAGTGAATGGGCAGCCGTGAAGAGGGAAGCCCCTCAAAAAAGGCTCCCACTGTGGGCATTTTGCTCAAGCACCTCCTAAAAAAACAACCCCAGAGCAGTTATGGAGCTCCACGGTAGTGACAGAGGTCACCCAAAACACGCTCACCATTGGCAAACAAGCACATTTTTGTTTTCTGGTGGTGACTTTGTTTTCTGAGCTGTTGCTGCCCAGCTCAGGTGCTCAGAGAAGGACATGCAGTCTCCTCTGTTGTCACAATGAGCCTCTGAGCATCTCTGGAGGTGCAGAATGGCTTGCTGCTTTCAGAGTGTTTCCAAAGTTCATGTTCAGAGTGGCAGCAAGGATGGCCCTTGCTCCCTGCTCCAGAATCCAGATCAGGAGGACCTGGGTGTTTACACTGGCCCTGCAGCATTTGCACAGCATCTCCAAAGTGATGTGATGCCACAGAAAAAAAGTCCTTTGGAAGAGGGGCTTGGTGGGCATCGGAGGCTGTGCATTCCTAATCTTGAGTGCACAAATCTGCATCTCCTCTTAACAACGTGGTTTTTTTTAAAGCAGCAGAACGGCTGTGGAATAACCACATTACACAGATACTCTGGGCAGAGTCTTGTGAACCAGATTAAGTTCTGGAGGGTTCTCTTATCAAGCTGTTGTTGGAATGGTAGAAAAATGCCTCCCAGGGCAAGAGCTGCATCTGAAGTGCAGAAACACAATTCTCTCCCTGCAAGGATGCCAATAAAGGCTCAAGGGAGGAAACAAGGGAGCTGCCTGCCTTTCCACTTCCAAGAAATAGTTATGAAAGAACCGGGGAGGCTGCCTTGTCCTGCATTCAATGCACGAAGAAATCTGTTCTCCCACGAGAGACAGAAGCAGGAGACACAGAAGCCGAAATGCAACTGCTTCTTTGATCTTTCTAGGTTTAACTCAAAAGTGGGTCCTCAAGGCAGCTTTGCCTGCGCATTGCATATATACCAGCACTCACATTAACCGCTCTCTTTCTTAAAAGTGCACATAAACAATTCTCTAAAAATCAGCCCGTAACAGAATAATTACCAAGATCATGCCAGGGTTGCAAATGCCTGCCAAAACAGATAATGAAATAAACTTCAGGACTGTATAATGGAATGGCTTCTCTCTCTCTCTCTCTCTCTCCTGACATACTAATTGCTTCTCATCAAGAGGTAATTAAATATGCCTCTTGGTAACATTTGGGCCTTAAGCAGCCAATATTACCTTGCTTACTTTTCACCATAGAACAGGATGAGAGCGAGGAAAAGCACAGGAATTACAAGGCAAAATATAGTCGCAAGGTGTGTAGATCTTTTGATGACGGGCAGTATAAAAATAAAATAAAATAAAATAAAATAAAATAAAATAAAATAAAATAAAATAAAATAAAATAAAATATAGGAGTACATTCTGGAATTAACTGTCTAAGTCTTCTCCAGGACTTGGAAAATACTGGCAAACTAATTAGCCAATGCAGCAATCTGTGAACAGATTTTTCCAGTTCTTTAGCTGTGTCAGAGCTGGAGACAAACAAACTTGTAGAGGAATTTGAGAAATAACAATGGAGTGTGTCTGCCTTCCAAAGTAGGATCCATTCATGTTGTTTCAAAAGCCCGGTACCTGCCCCTCTCTCTGCCAAGCAGGGGCAAGAGCACATGGGGAGGTCCGGAGGGTGGCAACACGAGAACGGGCCTTCTCTGCAGTGGCTCCCTGTCTGTGGAATGCTCTCCCCAGGGAAGTTTGCCTGATCCACATTATAGACCTTTAGGCACTAGGCAAAAATGTTCCTTTTTAACCAGGCCTTTGGTTGATCCTATGCCCTTTTAAAATGTGGGGATTTGGGGGGGGATGGGTTGTTGTCTTTATTTTGATTATATATTTCATGGTTTTATATTCTGATTTTGTTCTGTGAACTGCCCTGAGACCTCTGGATATAGGGCAGTATATAAACAAACAAACAAACAGTCAAATAATAATAGGATCACAGGGGCACACACAGGGGCTGAGTCCCTTTGGAGAATAGAACACATGGCAAAGGCTGCGGTGCTTTAAGAAATAGGGTTTATTCTCCTATTTACACCCTAAGTCTGCATGGAGGGTGTCCAGATCTTACAGCATGCACATTGTCTTGTTAACGACCCTCAATGGCTCTCTAATATTCCCTTAATAGCCCTAGCTTGGCCAGGCTACCCAATAATTCCTTTGCACCTTATATTTCTCCCATCCCACCCCCCAAATAATCACAATCCTAGAATTTATCAGTATCTATGTTTATCCTGTGGGACATGGGTGGTGCTGTGGGTTAAACCACAGAGCCTAGGGCTTGCCAATCAGAAGGTCGGCGGTTCGAATCCCCGCGATGGGGTGAGCTCCCGTTCCTCGGTCCCTGCTCCTGCCAACCTAGCAGTTCAAAAACACATCAAAGTGCAAGTAGATAAATAGGCAGGAAGGTAAACGGCATTTCCGTGCACTGCTCTGGTTCACCAGAAGCGGCTTAGTCATGCTGGCCACATGACCCGGAAGCTGTACGCCGGCTCCCTTGGCCAATAAAGCGAGATGAGCGCCGCAACCCAAGAGTCATCCGCGACTGGACCTAATGGTCAGGGATCCCTTTACCTTTACCTTTACCTTTATGTTTATCCTAAGTCTACAACAAAATTAAATGATTCAGCATACCTCAACCCCCCTGGCCCCCATTTTCTATGGAGATTGTCCTACAGTGACTTCCGTTGCTCTCTCTGCCTTCTATAGCGATGTGAAGAACATATTTT